GAGCCGGGCGGGAGCTGCAGGCTTGGCTCGGGCTCTGTCCCGGCGAGGCACAGCTGGGAGCGTGTCGCAGCACCCATTCAAGCTGGGGTCAGACCTTCGACGCGGGCGCAGCTCGCTCCAGAGCCCTTGTTCAGGCTCTGAGACGCTGGGCTCAAACTGAGAGGATGGAGAATAGCGGGGCCCAAGCACTTGTGTGGCCACAGAGCATCATTCCAGACACAGGAATTAAGATTGCGTACAAGATTGCAACCCTGGGAACTGGCAGGATCTCTAGTGGCATCGCTACGCTGTAGAGAACCCGGCCAACGCACCTTGCAGATGTGCAGCACCATGCTGGAGCCAACTGCAGGCATCCAGCTTTTCTTGTCCCTCCATCCCTCCTGGGCAGGAGCACCAGCGTAGTCCTGCCAGCCCAACAGCCCTGGGATGGTCGGAGTCACCCTGGGAATTCTTCCTCCAGGAAGACCAGGACACTGAACAGGGCGGCACCGTGCCAGGCAGGATGCTGGCAGCAGTGGCCAGAGGTGCTAAGCTGGTAATACTATCCCGCCGCCGAAACGTGATAGAGGACGGGGGGAGGTTTGCAACGTGTGGGATTAACAAGGTCAGCTCAAGATTTTCTCAGGGTGAAAATCAAAGGGAAAAATATTTGCCTTGTGTGACTCAGTGAGTTCCTGTGCAGCCAGCGGCACCAGCTCACCCCGACGGAGGACCTGGCCCATGGCGACAGTCAAGAAACCAAATCAACCTGAGCTCTCGCCCTCCCGCTGTCCTACCCCACGCTGCCGGATTGAAGAAGTCAAAGATACTTTCCAGCTGTGATGCTGGGCTCTGCATTTTTTGAAATTTTACAGATTTTCATTCACTGATCAAAGCCACGCACAAAAAATCGGGTAAATCCCAGCCTGAGGATGCTGATCACGGAGTGGAAACCATCCCTACCCTGTTGGCACGTAGAGAGGAGAGCGCTGCCCTCGGTATTTGCAGCATTAGTGCCCGATACTCACCCGAAATCCTTGACTCTCAGCTGCTTCTGAGGTTTAATTACTCCTAAAAGCTCTTCCACCTCCGCCATCCCATGCGCTCCAAAAATGCAGTGTGCACTCCGTGTTATCTCGTGTAACCAGACTGGTTGAGTTGTGACTGGTTCCAGGTGTGGGATTCTGGTGAGAGCCCGTGGATTTGCATTGCAGACTGCCTCTCCGCAGGGCTGGCTGCAGCTCCTGCCTGCAGACACGTCCCGGCCTGCGGCACCCAGCGTCGGCTGGAATTAAATTCTTACTCCACTTGTGATAGTTAAAATAAATTAGCTTAAAATCTGCAAAGCAGGTTTTAAAAAATCAAGTTTTCCTGTTCCAAAGCAGAAGCCCCGTTAACCTGGAGCTGGGATTGAGAGTAACGCAGCGGTTTCAGACCCTTTGTTGGCTTTGGAAGCAAACATAGACTCATAGAATCATAGAAACACGATAAACCCCAGAGGTTCAAAGTTACAGGTCACCTTTCGAGAGCTTCAAACATGAAAAATAAATTAATGCATCAAGGAAAACCTTATCCCTGCCCTCTAGTGCTGCTGGGCAGCAGGTATGGTCAGCCCATGTCTGTGCCGCCGCGCTTGGACATGCCTGGTCCCTCTGGCGTGTGGCAGCACTAGCCCCGTGCCGGGCACCGCTCGCCCGTTACCGAAGGGTTTGACATCGTGGCGTGGCACGTGGCTGGGCACGGAGCAGCACCGGAGCATCCCGCTGTGCACTGGCGCCTCTTGTTCCACCGCACACGAGCGCTGCTGATGCTGTCAGTTATCTGAGTGACTATTCTTTGTTTCCTCCATCACTGCCCCGTTATCCCACCTCGGCCGACCCACAGGGAGCCCGTTGCGGGTGACACTAATGGGATTTGTGTCACTGGCCCCTCTGCGACTGCCAGGGACGTGCAGTCAGCCCCTGTTTGAAGCACCGGCAGGCAGGAGCGGATGCTGTCCCCTCACCCTCTGCCACATTGTCCACCTATACAGCAAATATTGATGCTTCTCCTTGCAACCCATCGCACAGGAGCTTTTCTTACCACGTCCCAGCTGCAGTAAGTGTCCACGTGCGCGGTCGTGCGGGGCCACGGGGCTCTGCCCGGCCCCGGGGGCTGCGC